GTTGAAGGTTTGCAGAACAAATAGTTTCTCATTAAACAGTTAGTACACATATTACCCTACAACAATGGTTAACAACCCCACGACATGTCAACACTGTCCCTTCTCAACCTTGGGTTCCCTATCACCAGCTTTCTTGTCCCCTCCTGCCTACTAGTCCTTGTCTCTAGACTGCTGGGCCTCATTAGTCCCAGTTTTTATGAGGCTGTCTACTCCCCGGCTGAACAGTGAACTTCAGGAGTGACTTCACCACTGAGCTAAAAGGGTGTCTAGGGTCCACAATATCAGGGTTTCTCCGGTCTGTCAGGCCAGTAAATCTGGTCTTTTTTTGGTGAGTTAGAATTTTGTTCTACATCCTTTTCCTGCTCTGTCCAGGACCCTCCGCTGTGATCCCGGTCAGAGCAGTCAGTGGTGGTAGCCGGGCACCATTGTATGAACTCTTTATATACTCAAATATTAATTCTTTGTCATGTTTGTTGCAAATGTTCTTTGATTTGTACCAATTCTGTAAGTGTTGACTGTGCTGTTTTGTGTTTCAGGAGTTTTGTTTGTAGTTTTTATCATAACAAAGTGTTAAATTTTTGTCTAATCAAATTTATCAATCTTTTCCTTTTTGGTTTTTGCCTTTGAGGTCCTTCCCCACCCCAAGCTTATAAAAATATTCAACATTTTTTCTAATACTTTAATGGCTTCATTTTCTTTTGTTTTAACTTAAGGAATTGTATAAGTATACCCTCATAGAGCAATAAACATGAATTAACTAAGGTCTAGTTTTCATCTTTCCACTCTGAGCTATTATTATCTTTAGCTGTTTCCTTCTCCAAAATCAGAATCTTCTGGAATCCAGGGAGATGCTCCAGTTAGGTCAGCTTCAGGCAAGCCCTCATACCTAATCCATCTCAGCTAACCATTCTAGTCAGAGACACTTCAGATCTCTAAAGAGAAATAGGAAATTCTCCACACAGTAAGATCTGTTTGGGATGTGCTCTCGTGTCTTGAAACCACACTAATATTCCTGAGAGCATTTGGGCCACATTACAGGACCAACGGTGTTGAGACCAGGGCAGTTTGTTGGCGACTCCGCTCCCCTGTTGCCCTGTGCCTGGCCCATGGGCTTTGACCCGCCCTCCAGAGCACCCTGAGGTGGCCAGGTGGGTGCCAGCTCCTCACACAGTACTGAACTTCTAATTTCTATCAGTGTAAATCAAAACCACCCACTCTCCCTTTACCAGCACAGGAAAGACAGAACTGGGTATTTGAAAATATTGAAATATTTGAAATCTTGAAATGCAAGAAGAGGAAAGGACCTTAACAAGCACATGGTTCCACACCCTTGTTTCTTCAGATAAAGTCTGAACGCCAGAGTAGGGTAGGTACTGTCGATGGAGGAATCCAGACCTTTACTGGGTACCTCAGCACTCTCTCCACTTCTCACTCATTAACTAGCCCCTGCTGGGTGCCAAGCACTGTGGTGGTCCTTGGAAATTTAAAAAATATCTAAAACATAGCTTTCTGCCTTCTAAGAACTCACTGTTTAGGTGGATTGTTGTTAGGTACCTTTGAGTCGGCTCCCGACTCACGGAGACCCCATGCACAACAAAATGAAACCCTGACTAGTCGTGCGCCATCCTCACAATCGGTGCTGTGTTTGAGCCCATTGTTGCAGCCACTGTGTCAGTCCAACTTGTTGAGGAGCTTCGTCTTTTTCGCTGACCGTCTACTTTACCAAGCATGATGTCCTTTTCCAAGGACTGGCCCCTCCTGATAACACGTCCAAAGTATGTGAGACGAAGTCTCGCCATCCTCACTTCTAAGGAGCATTCTGGCTGCACTTCTTCCAAGACAGATTTGTTCATTCTTCTGGCAGTCCGTGGTGTATTCAGTATTCTTTGCTGGGAGACGGTACTAATCACAGTATGGTATTATGGATGGATTAATAGAAGTATGTACAGGGTGCTGGAGGAGCACAAAAGAGGGATGATTAATCCTGGCAGGAGAACTGGAGAGGATTTTCCAGAAGAGATAACATTTGAACTGGACTTTTGAAAAAAAGGAAGGTGTTTGCTGTGAGGGTAAGACCATCCAGGCAGAGAATACAGTGGGGCAAAGGCACAGAGGCTGAAGTACAATGTGTGCTTGAGGACTCGAGTGATTTGGTGGGTGGTAGGGGTGTGGGGGTCGCAGGAGAGGAGGCTATTTCTCTCCACACCCTCTGCTGCTGCCACCTGAGCCACTTGCTGTTCCCCACACCTCCCTCCATGTCTTTGCATGGAACGCTTTCTCCTAGTCTCTGCTCAAGCGTTTCCTTCCGCCTTAACGCCCCAGGCCCATGCAGGCTCTCCCTTGGCCTTTGCATTGCCCCCATGGACTCACCACTATTGCAGCACCTTTCACATCAAATTCATAGTTGTGAATAGGGGCTAGATCTTCTTCTTCTTCTTTTTTTTTTTTTTTTGCTGATACATTAGAATACAATACATGCTTGAGGTTGGAGAAGGAATTCAAACAGTATAAAAACCAAAACCAAACCCATTGCCGTCAATTCTGACTCATAACGACCCTGTAGGACAGAGTAGAACTGCCCCATAGGGTTTCCAAGGAGCACTTGGTGGATTTGAACTGCCAACCTTTTGGTTAGCGGCCAAGCTCTTAACCACTGTGCCACCAGAGTTTCTCAAACAATGTAGATGGGTAAAAACCAAACAAAACCAGTTGCCATCAAGTCGATTTTGACTCGTATGTGTCAGAGTAGAACTATGCTCCACAAGGTTTTCAATGGCTGATTTTTTGGAAGTAGATCGCCAGGCCTTTCTTCCAAGGTGCCTTTGGGTGAACTTGAACCTCCAACCTTTCTGTTAGCAGCTGAACATGTTAACTGTTTGCACCACTCACTGACTCCATAGAAGGGTAGATATTAGAAAATAAAAATAGCAATGTCTTCTAATACATACCCAGAGCCTCATGGGTGGTAAGGGATTTATCATCTTGAAAGTGATGGGAAGCCATCTGAGATTTTTAAACAAGGGAACAACAGAGATTTGAAGAGGGAGGGACTGAAAACCAGGTGGCCAGTTGGGAAACTGTTGAGGGAAGAGCTGTCTGCAATCGGGAGGTAACAATGGCAAAGAGAGGAGAGAACGGAAATGGAATGCAAGAACTTAGACACCCGCTGGCTGTAGAGGTGAAAGGAGGAGGAGGAGAGATGATGACAAAGTCCAGGTTTCTCCAAGCTGCTACTCTATCAATTACTGATTCATTATGAAATCATATTCATTTCGCATTTAAAGCAGAAGAAACCCAAGTCAGCCAAGTCAACACCTTGAAAAATCACGTGGAGAAGATAGGACAATATGAAATACATTTGGAAGTAATTTCTTTCTTTAAATGCAATAAAAATTGCCAATGTGTAGAATGGCAAAGATATTTCACATAACACTATTTCTTAAAGTCCCCCATAGATTAGAGAGAGACGAGGTCTGTAGAGCAGGGACAGACCAAAAGAAGACCATAAAATAAGGATGATCCAAGGTGAGAGGATTTGCTGGTTGGGAGAGTCCGGCCAGAGTATGTTTATCACCCTCTTAGGAAATGAGGTGAACTGCAGTGACAACAGGCAGGCATAGTTTAAGGGCCCATATCTTATTCACCCAAAAGGCATTACGTGCACAAGGGTCAACATTTCCTATGATAGGCTCTGTCTGAGGTTTCCCACCCCGTCACTTGCACTAGAGTTCTGAAGACAGTGGAAATGCTCAATGCCCGTGAATCACATAGGTGTGCAAAGGTTAGGGACCATGATCGCACCAGCTATTTCTGAGTAATTATTATATGCAAGGGGTTAAACGAGACGGGGTATGAGATATTATGAAATATAAGATACAACCTTACCTGAAAAGGATTTACTATCTATTCTGGTTAAATTACAGAAGCCTGAAAACATTTCTTCAAACAACCGTATTATTTACTAAAAATAAAAAGGAGGAGGGGCCTGCCTATGAGACTTTCAGCAATGCTTTTACTAAATAAACTGAAAGTAGATTTTTGCAGCTTAATTATAATTTCTTTCTCTATTTCTCTCTTCCATCAGATAATTTTCAGGATCAGATGAAAAGGGAACTAGCCTACCGAGAAGAAATGGTGCAACAATTACAAATTGTAAGATGCATTTCTACTTAAAAAATAAATGCAATTTGATTTGGTTTATTTTCAAACCAGGCCATATGTGTGAAAATGATGATGTTTTTGGCATGAAATCCTTTGGTCCACTTACCTCTCAGCTGGTTTAGATGCTAATTATCAAGAGATTTACTTAGACACAGGATAAACAGATGTGTCAGAATGTTTCCTTGAAATGTAACTACCTACCATGTGTTAATAGACAGATGTCTGTGGGCAAACCAGAAGTACCTGGATTTGCTTCCTCTGAGCAAACTTCCTACCCCAGTGCCCGGATGTCACAGAAGCTCAGGGAAGGAAGGGCAATTGTGTCCCATCTGCCTCTCTTTCTACTACCCAGACCTGAGCTGGGCCCTCTGCTGTCATTGGAACTTAGCATAAACACAATTAATCGATTACATTCACTTGAAGGGTGATGAAAGAAACGAATTATTTCCAAATGACGAGTGTTACTCACTTTACCCTAATCATTTCTGAAAGTGGACAGTGACTAAGATCTGTTTATATGGGAACAGGAGGATGTTTGATAAATAAATGTGGGTTTGTTTTTTCCCCCGGAATTCTAACCCCTTGTCCTCATGCAGGTGCATCTGATTATTATTCATTGGTGCTTTTAAAGCGGTCTCCCCAGCTTCCCCATTTTCATGAGCTGTTGTTCAGTGCTATAGAGTCCATTTCGACTCCTAGCGACCCCATGTGATAAAGTAAAACTGCCCCATTTCAGGAGGAGAATGGGAAAAATAATTTCTGCTCATTATTTGTACAATACTTTTAATCACCTGGTTAATAACATGTACTGATCCTTCGTGGTACTCCCAGCATGTTTATTATAACTTGGGTTGCTTGACATTTTTGAGCTGATCCGTGTTTCCCTCGTACCGTTAAGCATATAGCTATACATACATACATATGATGGCCTGTCTTGTCTGGATAGCCAGGTATCTAGTTTTCTGTCAGGATTATATAAAATAGTTATTAGTGTTTCCTTTCTGCATCAGAGGAATCGAGTTTGTGTTCATGTAGATTCCCGAGAGTAATTTTGAAAGCAGTTTTGTATTTTGCGGTGTTATCCCACTCCAAGGCCTCTGTTAGAAGTGCTTGTATCTCTGACACACCCACTGAGATTGTCCTGGCTCTCTGGTGTTCGTTAACAGCTCTCAGTTCTGAAAACCACTAGGCGTGATGCCGTTTAAACAGGATCTTGCTTCTTGTTTTGGTTTTGCTTGTGTGTTAGCTTTGTTTGCAGTTAAATTCACTGGGGGAGCAGAAAAAAATTTTTAAATTGATTGATAACAGATCCTCCACAGAGGTTAAAAAAATTGTATCTTTTCTTCTTAGCTTTTGATACCTGCATGATACCAAAACCAAAACCAAGCCCATTGCCCTGGAGTCGATTCCTACTCATAGCGACCCTATAGGACAGAGTAGAACCGCCCCACAGGGTCTCCAAGGCCGCAATCTTTATGGAAGCAGACTGCTGTATCTTTCTCCTGTGGAGTGGCTGGTGGGTTCGAATCGTAGATCTTTCTGGTTAACGACTGCGCCACCAGGACTGCTTACTTACATGATAAGGTTCTTAATTACTTGCTGTGAATATGCCTATTGCTTTCTTTGTCCAAAGGAAGACTTTTAAAAAAATGTTAAACCAAAAACCAATCCCGTGACCTTCCTCAGAGCAATCCCATGTGTGAGAGTAGAACTGAGCTCCACAGGGTTTTCGTTGCTTTAATCTTTACGGAAGCAGATTAACAGCCTTTCTTCCACAATGCTGCAGGGTGGGTTCAAACCACCAATCTTTAAGTTAGTAGCCATGCATAAACCATTTGCACCACCCAGAGAGTAAAATATTAATATCTTACTAATTTTACACAGGGCATCATTTTCAGACTCTTAAAATAAAAACTGCCACACTTGCAAAAAAAATTATGATTGCAGAGTGAGTATAGCAAAATGGACATTAGGAAAGGGAACTGAGTATTTATTTTCAATGCCCCTGCTTAAGGCCATTATATAACCTTACTCTCTTAATTTTCTTTGACATTTGGTTCCTTCTTTAGTAAAAGAGGAAATGATGCTGCATCCATGTAATAAGTATGCTGTATTGCTAGAATTAAAACATATCTCAAGTCTTTTGAAATATTTGATACAGGGAAGATACAAATTAGTATTATTAACATTTTTATTATACTGTATTGCAAAATATTTTATCATCATGTGTTCATCTAGCTACACAGTGTTATTAATTCACATTCCTCAAGATAGTAAATTACTCCTGGTAGCAAATTAAATACTTTGGGCAAAACTAGGATTTTTTTTTTCCCAGTCCTATTTGCATCATAAGGAGCCCTGGTGGCACACCGGAACCCATCCAGCAGCAACACGGGAGAAAGACCTGGCGATCTGCTTCTGTAAAGATTGCAGCCTAGAAAACCCTATGGGGCAGTTCTACTCTGTCACATGGGGTCACTATGAGTTGGAATTGACTTGACAGCACCCAACAACAACAGTAACATAGGCATCATATAATTCCTGAAATCAGCAAAGGTACATCTAGGCTAGCAACATAAAAATTTGAAAAATAGATATGATTTTCCCCCTGCTTCTTCCCTTTCTTTTGTGTCCACCGCCATGAGATGCCTGAGGTTTTCAGGCTGCCTCCAACACTTAACACCGTGTCTAACATCAAACGTTGTTGTTGTTAGGTGTCGTCGAGGCAGCTCTGACTCATGACCACCCCAGGTACAACAGAACAAAACGTTGCCAGTCTTGTGCCATCTTCATGATCATTAGTATGCTCAAGTCCAGTGTTGTGGCCACTGTGTATTTTGAGTGTCTTCCAACCTAGAGGGCTCATCTTCCAGCACTATACTAGACAATATTCTTTGATGATCCATAGGATTCCAATTGGCAAATTTTCAGAAGTAGATTGCCAGACCTTGCTTCCTGTCTGTCTTAGCCTGGAAGCACTGCTGAAACTGGTCCACCATGGATGACCCTGCTGGTATTTGAAATACCAGTGGCATAGCTTCCAGCATCATGCCAACAATCGAGCCACCACAGTATGACATACTGACGGATGGTGGAACATCAAATAGCTATAAGTAAACATTTGTTGAATGAATCACTGCCCATGGATGCCCTAGACCTCCAAATATGGCACCCTGATCCAACTCGGATGCTCTCATAGAGCAGTCCCCTTAATTCATTTCCAATTTCCCTGTCTTGGGCCTGATTTTCTCAAATGTTCTTTTGTGCTAAGTAACTACTACCAAAACTACTAAAGGAAGGCATCCTAGTGAATTACGGGGAGCTTATGTATTACTGCAGCCTTTTCCACTAACAGACGCAAACTTCAAGGTCAGCAAACTTGAGTTCAAGTGCCATCTCCTACAGTTCATTAAGTGTCAGTTTCCTCAACCGAAAGGGAACTGTGGTAAGATTTAACTTAGTACCTTGACATTGTTGTTAGTTGCTGTCAAGTTGGCTCATGAGGACCTCATGTATAACAGAACTAAACACTGCCTGGTCCTATACCATCTTCACAATGGTTGTCATGCTTGAGTCCATTGTTGTGGTTATTGTGTCAATCCATCTCACTGAAGTTTTCCCTCATTTTTGCTGACTCTCTACCAAACATGATGTCCTTCTCTAGTGATTGGTCTTTCCTGACAACCTGTTCAAAGTAAGTGAGCTGAAGTCTCATCATACTTGCTTCTAAGGAGCATTCTGGTTGTATTTCTTCTAAGACTGATTTGTTAGTTCTTTTGGCAGTCCATAGTATATTCAACATTCTTCACCAACACCACAATTTGAATGCATCAATTCTTCTGTCTTCCTTTTTCCAGCTTTTATATGCATATGAGGAAAAGTTCTTGATAGAGATACTGTAAGGAGCAAGTGGATAATAAACATAAAATGTATATGCAAGCCATGAAGCGCTATTGCCAATATGAATAATCAATTTAGTATCCTGCCCCTTCTCAAAGTAGTGTCTCTAATAGTGGAATTATCTAAGCCCTGGTGCCTAGAGATATTTTGGGGCAGGAAGGACCTGTGTTCACATTAAGAATTTCTTAAGAATGGAGGCAGTAGGTTTTATCAATAAGGTACTGGAACAGAAATTGATCTTGTCCCTAATTCAGCGGAATACGCCTCCTAAAGTGCCTAGGGGAAAATGTCTTTAGAAACTTCTAGCTAAAGATTATCAAGAAGTTGCTAGATATAACAATTAATTGACTTTCTCTACATTTGTAGTTAAATGATCTAACTCATCAGTAAATATGGTTACATACTTTACTACCTGAGAACAGAGCAATTCACTCAAAATTATTTTATATTTAAATTTACAGAGCATATATTACAAAATAGGCATTTTTTACTTAAGATGAAATAAAAACCTACCCTATCCTGCAAACATGAAGAATTCAAATATATTAAAACCATCATATTCTGTAATGATTCCCATAGACCCACAATATATTTATCCTGTGTTGTTACACAGTGTTCATATTCAAAAGACTTATATCAAAAGCATCTTGGGTACCATTGCAGTAGAAAGAAAACTTATAAATTTCTTTGGCTCCTGCATTTTTAGATTCTCTGCTGACTATAATTTCTGTACCATTGCTTCTTTTTCCAGTTTGTTAGATGCAAAGTTGTGATGGCTGTAGAGTCAAATGACTGATCTATTTGTGCATTTATAAATGAATGTGCAGTTCTCTCAATGTGAGATTTAAAGCATACCTAGAATTCATTTATTTAACATTTATACACGGCCACAGCTAACTTTGAAACAAATAGTTTAAAATTTGAATTTCATAGTACTTAACACAGTTTGCATTAAAATCTCCCACCCTTGCCCTTGGTTTTCAAATACTTAAAATGTCTTCGTTTCTAAACAAGATTTATTTATGCAAACAAACAAATATGCTCTTCTTACAGGGAACCAATATAACCAGTAACCAGTTGCCATCAAGTCGATCCCATGTGTGACTCATGGCAACCCCATGTGTGTTAGAGTAGAACTGTGCTCCATAGGATTTTCAATGGCTGATCTTTTGGAAGTAGATCACCAGGCCCTTCTTCTGAGGTGCCTCTGGGTGGATTCAAACTGCCAGCCTCTCAATTGATAGCTGAGGGCTTAACCATTTGTGTCACCCAGGAACTCATATAAACCAAAATAAAAGTTTTAAGATTTAGCAAGTTCATGAAATTTTAGTGTTTATTATAATAAATGGCAAAGAATTTCTCATTTGCAAGTGAGTTGTGATTCTAGGAAAAATTTGTTCCATTTTAAAAACAAAAAGCATCATTCCTTTGGGTTAAGAAGAAGCTGAAGATATTTTATGCAGTGAATAATCTTTTGATTAAAAAATTTCCAAGGACTGGAATATAGTAATTTGTGACATGAGCTGAAACTATTAAAATTCTTATGATAATCTGCTTTTTAAATTGCTAATTTGGCAACAATGGTTTTAAGCAAGTGCATCTGTGTGTGACCTACTGCTGCAGGTTTGTTAAAGACGTGCATTTTCTTAGCCGTAGTTCTTGAAGGATATTGTGGAGCTGCAACACAGAGCCCATGATAAATGGCTAAACCCAGACTCCTATCCTTGGAACTTGCTGGATCACTATCACCCAGCAGGTGGGCCTAGGAATTGAGCTAGTCTTGAGGCGCCCTCTGCTGTTTCCCCAGAATGCTGCAGTCACACGCAGCCAGACGGAAACAGTCTCAAAGTCATTCATTAAAAGCCTCAATTAAAATAATGTTCAATCAATATATTTAGAACTAATATTTGTTCACTGTGGACTTGTAAAAAAGCAGTTTGCAACTTCCTGATGATGGGAGGGTAGTGCCTTCTCTCAGGGAAAGGAGCAATGGGTCTTTATTGTTGCTGAAGGAGCGCTCCTTGGCAAGGGCATAGCTCTTCAGTGTGACGGTCTATTCTTGGAGGCCCTCCAGAATTCATTAGGATGGGAACTTGCCCAGATTTCTACCATCTCAACCCAGAGGGTTTTAAAAATATATTTTACATTTGTTTTAGAAAGTAGATAGAACAGTTACTATTTTGCACTATATTTTTAGAAAAAGATCTCTGGCCACGAGAGGAGTTTGGTTTTGTGCCTAAATATACATCAAGAGCTGGTCCCTGCAAGTTAGGTGCTTTGATGCGCGTCTGAACTTCCGTGGAAGCTGCCTTGAGATTCTGCAGCAGTTGACAGACTTGGACTATAGTGCATCTTTGTCCAATTATTAATCTACCGCCAGTGCATCTGAACAATGTGATCAGTTACTGCTTAGGTGCATAGGCTTTCTTCTCATCTTTCTCCTTTTGAGATGTTGACTCACCTGAACATCTGAGCTCAGGCCAACTCTCTCTTGGCACAAACTAGGAAGTTAACTTCTTTGAAAAGACCCCGATACTTTTGATCTACTAGAACCAACTGGGTAATTTAGTAATATAATACTTCGAATCTTTTTCCCATGCCCATCTTGGTGATTTCCAAGCTCATCGAAATGAAATGAAAGTTTTTGTAAGTCTCACTGCAGGATTAAAAGTGTTAAGTGGGGCCTTCCAATCCTGAGTTCTCAAGTTGGGGAGTGTTTGCTGAGGTCTCTGTAAATCCAGTTTTGCATGTCATTGAGTCTGAAGCACCATCAATTGTAAGAAGCCCCATTGTTTGATGTATCAAAAGCAGCAAAGCTCCCAACTATTGTTCTAAGATACCATCAATTGTAAGACGCATCTGATTTCAGAGATGTTTAAATATGAGGGGGAAAAATGTGTCTTAGAATCAATGGACTCTAGTGGTTTCCATGAACAATTAAGCCATGTGTGAATATATTCTTTATTTATCATACCATGGTTTAGGGCTTAGAATTAAAAACACATCATTCTAAGATTAACCAGTTTAATCTGATGGGTACTTTCAGTTAAAACTGAACATAGTGGAAAATCGTTACTACAGATTTTATTCATTGCTAGTCTTGTCTTCCTATAGCCATTAAAATTGTATGAAAGAATATTTGAAAAAATAAAATATTTGAATCAAAAAATATATATATTATCCTCAATTCACAACTTTTTGCTTTTTGCTTTGTGGTGGCTTGGGTTGTATTGTGTTTTGTTTTAATGAAATAAACACCACAATCAAATGCTGGAGTGGGGATATCCACTTCCGTACACAGCTTTAAATTCCAGTCTGGAACTTTGAGGATCAAGTGAGCTTATTTGGAAATGTCCTTTTGTTCCTGAGTCCTTTTTTCTTTTCCATCCAGCTTTCTCCTTCAGGAAATGCTACATTATTGTTTCGGGCGGGGGGTAGGGGGCATTCTGACTTAGATCTGAGATGATGGTGTTTACTTGTGTAGTACCTAGCACAGCACAGACACTTACTTAATCTTTGTGGCACCGAATCTTGGTGTTGAGGACTCTAAATGTGAGAATGGCACAGACACATTTTATTGGTAACTCATCTTGCCCAAAAGTTTACATCGGTTCCGCTTGTTACCCTAAACAATAGAACTCCATTCAAGGCTCTGTAACATCATGCGTCTAGAGAGAGGTGAGCCAAGTGCTCTGGCGTATTACAACATACACCATAACAGAAAACCAAGGTTCAAGGGCATCTCGTTCATAGCAGGTGTAGCATAACCTAGAATGAAAAGACTAAGTAACTAGAGTAGGTCCCTGTGTAACTGTTCTTGTCATGGTTATCTAGCTGATCTCAGCCCACATTCTAAAATATGAGATTAGGACATTGGACTTTTTATGCACAGTATGAATCATTCATTTCAGTGCTGCTCTCTGTGCCCTTTATCAGATATGTGCCTATCAGATTCCTCCATGTTGTGGTTGTGTGTTAAAACAGTGAGATGCTTATTCTAGTCTTTTCTTTTTCCCCCTCCATTAAAAAGACTGATTCAACTGATCAGCTATTGTGGTAAAATAGTCCAACTCATCTTGGTCACTAACATCATTGTAGATTTGTAGCTTCTTCCCATTTATAAAGGTTCATATACATGGACTAGTGGGCCAGAAGAGCACAGAGCATACAGTATACTGGCAATGTGGGGAATGCGTATAACAGTGTTGAAAGACATTGCCTAATTGTAATGAAAATAATTTTATTTGCCTCAGTGCTATTACATAATAGCCAAATTTCAAGTTACATTTTAAGGGGCTGATTATTTCTATAAATGTAAAATGGATTCAAATCTTTAGAGTTCTGAGTTCAGCCTTGTAATGATGAAGGTAGGTAATATAATGATAGAGTACCTTAATTGGGGTTAGTGGAGAGGCAAATCTAAATAATACACGTTCTAATTTCAATCGTGAATTTTCTACTGAAAAGTAGTGTATCAGATGCGGTAGGTTTTCATTCAAGCCCCAGTATTCAAAAGTACTTTTCAATTTATCCAGGTAGAATTCTCAAGGGTCATATTTTCCATTCGGTGCAATTATTTCTTATCCTTCTTATTAGTTACTGGTAAGTTACCCGCAGTAATAGTCTATGTTTAGTCTCACTTGTGATTTATAATGATAGCATATTTCATGAAGAAGTCACTGTAATAAAATGAAAGTTTACACTGAACTCATTTGTAATCCCATTCGTGTTTTGTGACCTTGGGCATAACAGTTAACATCATAACTCAGTTTTCATATAAAAATAAAAAAAAATAGCATATATTACAATTGAAAAAAAACACTATTCCTTCAGCATCAATTCGATGTGGTCACCCATTCTGGCCTCAGTGTGCTTTTTAACAGGCCAGAGGAGTGCCATGTCCCAGAAGCCCACACTGTGAGCAGATGGAGACCTTTCTTCCTTGCCAAGGATCCACTGGCATTCAAATTGTTAGGCATGGTGAAGGGTCTACGTTACACTTTGGTCTCCAAGTTTAGCTTACCTGGATGCCTTTGCTTGTTTTATCTTACAGATCCCCTATGCAGCAAGCTTGATCAGGAAAGAAAAGCTTGGTGCCCATCTCAGCAAAAGCTAAAAGGTGAGGTTGCCGGGGGAAAGATTTTCTTAACTCTCTGAATTGTAATGCTGGATCGTGTTGTTTATTGATGAATTTGAAATAGCCCAAAGGATTGGTAAGGTTGCATCCTGTGTTTAGGCCAATACACCGATGAACTTCTTTATGCCTAAGGATGGGACTTCGTAACTGAGTCACTAAGTGCCCATTATAAACTCCATGGAAAATTCCTAAAACTAAGAAAATTCTCTCTTCTGTCTGCAGAAGTGATCTTCATTCTCTTTTGAGGTTTTCTGCTCTTTATGGTTCTACCTGACTCCCTGATTAAACTATTTGCCGTAGAGTTGACTCCAACTCACGGCAACCCCATAATGGGTCAGAGTAGAGCTATGCTCCATAGGATTTTCAGTGGCTGATTTTTTGAAGGTAGATCACCAGGCCTTTCTTCTGAAGCACCTCTAGGTGGCCTTGAACCTACAACCTTTCAGTCAGCAGCCAAACACAGTAACCATTTGTCCCACCCAGGGGCTCCTGACACCCCAGTTATTACCCTTCTAAACGAAATGCAAGTGTCAGGAAATTATGTTTATTACATATCTCATCTTCTCAGTCTCTCCTTTGCTTCCAACAAATCTTCCCAAAATCCAACTTTCAGTGAGTTGCTAACCGATAGTATTACAAACAATTGGGGGCCGTACAGACCTTGAAGACCTTCTCTATCAATAGTAATTTATTATTTCCCCAAACCAACAATAATTCCTCTACAGCCAGGCTCAAGGTCACATCCCTGGCAAAATTTAAAAGGTAAATATTCTGTGCTATTAAGGAAAAGAAAACAGTGAAAATTCAATGACCAGATTTAGAATATCCATAAACATTGCAAAAGCAACTTTTGGATTACATGGAAGAAGATATGTGTGTGTGTGTGTGTTTGTATATGTATGTATGTGTATATGTATATACCGATATATATGCATATAATCTTAGAATTGAGAGAATACAAGATACAGGGCATTGTCATTTCTTTAATAATACATTAGGATAACCTAACAATAGGAATTGCTAAATCAGGAAAAACTCAGATATCAGAAGTAGCATTTGTTAGCACTCATGGCCATGTAGGATGGTGGCCATTTATCAGTTTGATCTATTTCCGTCAGAATGATTCTTCCCACTCCTTCCCTCTGGAACCTATTTTCAACTCAATAGAATTTATTGGCAAAAGGACTCCCCTGCAATGCAGGCTCATGGTTCCATTTCTTTCCTTCATGCCTCTCTTCTGCATATCACAGGCCTCCTCTACCCTAAGCAGACGACAATCCTACTTCTTGCCGCCATCTTTATTAGTGGCAATCTTCAGTATTTCCCTTGAAAAATGATAATTATGTCACAGTTTATCAGGAGCTCAAAACACTTTCCAAAACAGTCTCTCATTAAAATGTTTTCCATTAATTTTATACTTGGGGAACTGAGGCACAGAGAAGAGAGATGTGACGTTTTTTGTGCTCCGTGTTGCAAAGCCAGGAGAAGATTCCAGGGTTCCCAACTTTAGATTCAGTGCCTGCTGACACATGGACTTCCGACCTCTGTGAGCAGATGTTCTGCAACAGAGATGCTCCGATAATACATTTCCATCTCTGTGAAGTCATGTGCAGTTGGGTCGATATACACAATTCTATACATTCAAGTATTTTTCTTCAAGTCTGAAGTTGACTTTGGGAGATTTCTTTTTCATTCTAGTAGGCATCAGCAGTGTGAAATGATGAATTTTAGAACATTCAGACCCCAGTAATCTGAACTCAGAATATCAAGGTAATTGAGGCAAGAATAATCCAAATTAATGCTGATAAATTCCGTAACAGTTTGAAATGTTAAACTAATTTTCTTTCAAATCAAAGTGAAAATACTAGGATGTGTTTTTCAGATAACCTTGTCACTGGAGTATAACTCATATCCTGCAAAGCCTACAAATCATAAGGGTACAATTCAATGAATTTTCACAAAGTGAACTCACTTAGATTTCCAGCCCAGGTGCCCATCCACCTCATGTCCCTTTCCAGGTACTACCCTCTCCCCCCCTCACACTGAACAAAGACTTGTTTTGCCTCTTTTTGGACTTTATATAAATGACATTGTATAGAAAAATTCTCTTGTGTCTGACTTCTTTCACTCAAAAGCATTTGTGAGACTCATCTCTTAGAAGGTGGTTTGATTTATACTTAGGAACCTCAGTAAACTCTCTCGTACTCCTTACTTCCCCAACTCATCGTCCCTGCTTGTCAGACATGAGCCGCTCTTGCACCTACAGAATGAAGACTCACTGCCCAGAAACCACGCCTCTGATAGTGACAGAGCATAGGGCTAGGTGGAAACAAACAAGATTGATCTGTGTTTAGTAACTAATGCTTCCTTCATGCTGATTTTGTTTCCATCCTTGCAGACAACAGGGATTTCTCTAAGTAGACCCTGGTGCTTTCAGAAGATTAGTGGTTACTTAAATGCTTAGCTTAATCAGCCAAGCAGAGAATCACAACCATATTGTTAGAGGCAGTCTCTGATTCTCAACATGCCAAACCTGCAAGGAGTTACCCCAAGAGAGATTACAAAATACAAATCATTACACCAAGGGAGAGAGACAAACTCAGTCTTGCTGAGTGACCACAGGTTTCCAAATTAGGGACTGATGCATTAATGTCTTATGCTAGGTGACCCTTAAGGTAGTGTGCTATATTCCTGCCACCCAGTGGATTCCAATATGACTATTAAGAGGAGGAAGCTTTTCAAAACCACAGGCAATCCACTTAATAAGCTGAGCAAGTACTGCCACATATCACTGCTCTACAAATCTTTTTTGCCTTTCATTAGAACGTAAGAAATCCCATGTTGAGTCAAAACTAAAGGTCTACCCAGGCCAGGATACTAACTGTGTAATTTCATTAGGAGACCCAAATTATTCTTAACACTATCAGCCTCAAAATTTAGGCATATACACTGAATACTCTTAACTTTCGCTTGATAACTCCTTAAAGATCCATTATCCATGAGTTTAAATCTAAACCTTTCTTTAACCTAGGCATAGTCCCCTTTGGGGCAATGAATTCCTTTTGTTTAGCTACCAGCTGTGTAAAGTGTACTTTATTTTATTTATCATCAAAATGCCTGCTAAAACAGGCCCTGTTAGATTAGACCTCGTACTGTTCTGCATATTTGTTTCATTATGAGCTTGTGAGTACAATGGAAATTATTTGAAAAATATTTCAAAATGCTGTGTGTACTATCCTTTTGCCTGGGACGTTTTTAATACCAGAATTATTCCTGACAGTCTTCCTTACCTTCCTTGTTATCTCTATGACCCAGTTCCTGCACAGACAGCACAGTGTAATCTGTGTGAAATCTGCACCCCAGATAAAAACGAAATGATGTTAACACTAAATTATTACTTTACATTCATTTTCTTCCAAGAACCTTTAAACATTATGCAAATATCATCAGTGCATCAACATGTATCCATGATACATCCAGGTATCATCCATGAAACACCCATGTCATTCACAGAGAATTAAATCATTTTACATAAGTGAAAAATGAATCACTGGTAAATGACTCACTCCTAGTTGTATAGAAAAGGAGCCTTGCTGGCAAAACAGTTAAGCACTCAGCTGCTAACCAAAAAGTTGGCAGTTTGAACTCAACTAGCAGCTCCACGGGAGAAAGACCTGGCAATCTGCTTCCATAAAAGATTACAGCCAAGAAAACCCTATCTGGAACTCCTGCTCCATCACATGCAGTCGCTATGAGTCAGAATAGACTTGATGGCACATAACAAGAAGTCATATAGAAACTCATTGATGAAGCTGGAAAAAACAATAGCTATCATTTATTGAGCACTAACTGCCAGATACGGGGCTAAATTCTTTACTGCGTTATTTCTTTTGATCCTTTCAACTCTATAAAGTACACCCTGTTGTTATCCCCATTTTATACATGAGAAAGCTGAGGCTCAGTGAGGTCATTTAGCTAACAAGTGACAGAGCCAGGATTTAGTCCAGTTCTATTTAATTCTAAAGCCCCTACTATGTTTTCCTAGGATCATTCAGCTGGTTGTGGGTCTGCGTTCTAAATCTGGCACTACCTGGCTCTGTTGTCTTGAGTAATATCATTTAATCCCTTTGAGTCTCACTCTCTTCTATAAAATGAGGGTGGCTGAACTCTTCCAGCTCTAAAATCTGACAATCACTCTTGCATACCAGTCTTTTGCTGTATTTTCTTGCCTTCGTCACAAAAAGGCTGCTTTTATTCAAGCCAGTTCCAGACCATTTTTAATGCCCAAGGACATGATCAACTACTTTTGCCTCATGCCTGCATCTTCTTATCACTAATTGCTACTTTGCATCCTTCTGGAAAGTGTAAAAGATTGAATTTTCCTATGTTAACTCAACAGTATCTACCTCTTTGGTAAACTACTGTTATTTTTATTTGACTTCTAGAATAAGCTATAAAAATAGTAACAAGAAAAAAGCCTTAAAGGGATGTGGAGAGATTGTAATGGAACATTCTGTGTCTTCATTTTGGATAGATCAAAGATACATCCTATGATGTATCCATTGCCCTCATCTTTAGTCAGGCCTAAGAGGACCAGACTCTTCCAGGAGTCTCCATTGAGAATGATAGCTAACATTTGTTAGCACAATGTGCCTACACTGTTCTCAGCACTTTATTTAATCTTCCAACTAACCCTTGAGATAAGTACTGCTACTTACAGCATTTGCAGTTGAGAAAACTGAAGTGCAGAGACGTGAGTACATTGTCTGTGGTCTCACAGCTGGGAAGTGGCAGGACCCGAGTTTGAGCCAGGCCGTTGGGCTCATCATCTGCTCTCTTCTGAACTGTAGCCCAAAGTCATGGCCTCCTTCAGATCTTCTGTTATCCATCATAACATGCAGTTAATAATTAGTCTGATGGTTTTCTTGATTGTGATTCAGAAAACCTTCAGTCATACTTCTCCTGTTGTCCCGATACCT